GGGGGGGGGGAATCACTCTGCACATGCCTAGAGGCACTGTTCCCTTCCACCCCCCAATATTTCTCAAGCGGCAGAGCAACTGGGTTTAGAGAGCGACTGAACTGTGGAGCTCAGCCGAACCAATAAGTTCAAATTAAACCCTGAGTCTAAACCGACGGTCCAAAACCCACTGCAGGAATAATCCAGTTTGAGACCGCTTTAACTGCCCTGGCTCAATGCTAGAGGATTCTGGGAACTGCAGTTTTGTGAGACATTTTGCCTTCTCTGTCCGAGAGCTCTAGTGCCACAATAAACTACAATTCCTAGGATTCTCTAGCACTGAGCCAGGGCTGTTAAACGGTCTCAAAGTGGATTATTTCTGCAGTGTGTTTTGGATCCTAGATACTTTTATCTGGGTAATCCCCCCTGAGCAATATGGGGCTAAGTTATGCCTAAACGTGCCTAGGAAGGATGCGCTCGTCCACACAGCTGAGTTGCGCACCGATCTCATCCCCGTTTGAGAGATATGAGGGGGAAAGTCTGAGGCGATACCTGTTTTGTATTTCATTTTAAGATTAATATCGTTGTCCACATTGTAGATTAAGGTTAATGTCTCTGAAAAAGTTGGTGTTTTACGCGGGGAGCTTATTCCTAATTCCGACTTCGCTTGGTTGTAAAACCACCAAAAACCAAACTGGGAACGAATTGAAAAACACCCTACAATCATTTTCCACAGACAGGCAGATATAATGGATAGATATAAATACATATATCCTCCAGAGAGTTAACATCTACTATAATAATGACACGATTTGTGTCAATGAGTTGCATTTCTAATTTGTTGTTGTTGTTGTTGTTGTGTGTCTTCAGGTCGTTTCCCGATTTATGGCAACCCTAAAGGCGAACTTATCCTGGGGCTTTCTTGGCCAGATTTCTTCAAAGGAGGTTTGCCATTGCCTTCCACTGAGGCCGAGAGAGTGTCACCCAGTGGATTTCTAGCCGGGATTCGAACCCTGGTCTCCAGAGTCCTCACACCATGCTGGCCCTGGGGATTCCTAATCCTGTGGCTTGGGAGGGATTATTCTTGAAACTACCTCTTCGGGTTGTCTCCGTGGGAATCCGTTCCGCGACTAAACACGTGAACTTGAACTCCCAAAATGATTTGATCACTGATTTCCTTCCC